GGGGGATTATAAAGTCTAAAATAGGCATATTAAAGCCTAAAAATATCAACCAACTTAAGGATGCAATTAAAACGTCTTTGGCAGAAATAAACACAGATGTAGCAATGAGATTGGTTGAAAGTTTTCAAAAACGAGCTATTTCTCTTTATAAAGCCAAAGGTGAATCAATAAAATAATAAAGGACTAGTGGTGCGTTTTTTTAACAAAAAAAGTTTAAACTAATTAAAAAAGAAGAAATATAAAATAATTTTAAAAAATACAGTTATTTTATATATAATATCGACTTGTTATAATTTTTCTCATTTTGACCAAAAAAGGGTAGTGCGTTTTTTCAACAATCTGTATATTATTTAGTGTTAGTCTCGAAACTTTACAAACGAAAAATAACTGTTCTAATCTTTCCTGCCGTTGGTCATTTTTCTTGCTTATTTGCCTTATAGATACGAAGGACATCACAATTGCTGACACTGTCGTATCACTGTTCGATTGCACGCATGCTGTGCGAATGCATTACTCTTGAATTGCGTGGGATGTGAGAGTCAAGATGAGATTCGAGCCTAACCAGGCATCTTGCTCGGCGGTACTTCTTGTTTCCCCCTCTAATTGTATCCAACAGCTACAAGTTTTGTGTAAATCATGTGTTCTGCCGATTCCGATAATTCTTTCTATCTAGATCGGGCTGTTAAAAGATTTTGTGTTCATGTGGTAGCGCTTATCTTGGAAAGGCCAACAGGTCCATACATTAGATGTTTGTGGGTCAAAAAATCAGAATTGGTCTAACACATGGATCACACAGGGTATCAGGTAGACTGGTCTAATGCAAACTGTTTAGCTGGATATGGGGACTTTACCAGTAGGCGTAAGATTAGCAAACCAATAGAAATTAACACTTAACTTTTCAGCAAACATTTAGGAAAAGCATACTATTACCAACCAAATGATGAGATGCCTTATTAAGTTAAGTTAGACTATAAGAAGTAGTTAGGTTTGCACCTGGCCACCTTTCTTGTCTTCGTGTTTTGGGGAATTATTGATAAGCATGTTGTTCTGCTCTGATGATGTCCATCACATGACGGACGAAAGCTCAGCAAGGATTTATCGGAGTTGCAGGGCGGTGCGTCGATGACCTATTCGCATAAATCTACAGTTGCTCCAAAGCAATCCCCTTACAGCTTCCGGTGAGGCTAACTTAAGATTCCTTTCCGCTCGCATCATCAAGTGAAATGAAAGGTACTCTAGCTACAATCCAATAAGATGTTCTTCAAAACCCAGTTTTTCTACGCATCAATGATGTTACTTGTTTTCGATACATGTACTTCTCGATACTATTATAATTTTTGGATAAGAATCATAGGACTCTTCTTCAATGGCTTCCGTAGCTGTATCGCAGTGGCAACTTGTTGTACCTTTACGCGTATGCCTGGCTTTTTAACCCAGTTGAGGGTGCTGATAGGCCCTGCGCGAGATCGAAACGGTAGTCCACTTGGAATGAAGAATAATTTGGGGGACTTGGCTATTGGAATTCCATGGTACTGTTGGGACTACTCATTTCGCTGTAGGACCATTCAACTACTAGTTAGATCATCTTAATTTACCAGAGTGATTTATTCTTACTTAAGAGTTCATGTTCTCTACAAATAGTAAAATCAAAAGTTAAAAAAGCGCTGCCAAAAACGGAATTTGTTAGTTTTTCTATCTACTAATGATTTCCAGATCGTGAAATCAAATATTTATTCATTTGAAGCCAGTACATTTAATTATACCCCCAAACCCAATTATGATTTTATTCACCTTTTTTTATATTAGTTAATCGAATAATTATCTCTTAACAAGCAATTTTTTGTCGCCGAAATTGGTCTCTAAGCCGGATGAATTTTGATAGATATCTTATTTTGAGGCAGACAAATCATCATAATTTTGTTAACTATTAAAAAAAAACAGCGAGAGCAGGACTATTTTAGAAAAACTTCTTTATAAAATGGCAAAGACCACTTTTTAAATCGAACGTTTATTTGTATTATATCCCTTTATACTCTTATCCTTACTATCTCCTCCCTTAATTCATTTTCTTAGTATTTAAGAAATCTTTATGTTTTAACAAAAATTGGAAATAAAAATGTGGTTTTCTTCTATTATTGTTGTAAAATGTCCCTCATACCTCCACACTTCTATTGAAACTTTGAACTATGCAGAGTAAACTATAGTATGATCACGAGCTTTCTTCTGGTCTCAGTTTCCGCATATGACACTATAGACTCCCGAGCAATCCAGTTTGTCAATCTTCTCGTGTTGCGTCGAAAGAAATATAGGGGCCATAAAAAAAAGCAGATTTCAAGCCTGCTTATTTTGCTCGCAAATTTATTTATTTCATAACAAAGTGTTAATGGATTTATCCTATGCAAGACGACTTTGTAACAGTTTTTCTTTGTTAGGTTAATCAATGCTAATTTTTACTAACGATTCAAAACCCGTATGGTTTTTCTTATAATATCAGCTATTTAAGCCATGGTATCACAACTAGCAAAAAATGAAAAATTCATTTTTTACCATTGTTATTACTTTTATTAGCATTAGGTCTAAGGTCAGCATTACTTTAATCTTTCATGAGCCATTCCACCAGGCCTCTTTATTAACTTTCTAAATTTTAATTTTTACAAAATACTCTCATATATAATTTCTAATGCTTTCTTTCTTTAAACCTCTGCTTCTACAGCTCCTTGAGAGGGAAATCGAGGAGCACCAAGAATTGGTGAGTCGAGGTAGCAAGCTAGGCAACCGACTCGCGCTGTTGGTATCGCGGGATGCTGCGAGCAAGGTGCGCGAATCGGTCAGTGAGACCACCGGTCGATTTCTTTCCATCAGCAATTTTGCTAAATCGCGCTTGATAGATCTGGAACGGGCCATTCAACAGGCCCCTGAGGTTATTTGTTTTTTTGGGATCCCATCTAACTCTTTCAGCATATGCATTTGATTTTATTGTATTATTTATCCACACCATTGCTATTTCTTACATATCCATACTTTATTTCTTTGCCCTGGTAATTTTTTGAAATTACCATTTGGAACCAGTGCATATT